CAGGAATGACAAAAAAGGAGATATCATGTATCAAAGTAACTTATAAGAGGAAATATTACCCGCTTGACTCCCATTTATTAGTAAGATACCGAAAACAGGGCAGCCAAAATGGACATTCTACTTATAGGACCACTTCTACTTCCAAGTAACAAGAAGCAAACTCCCAATAGCGGACCCCTCACAATCTATTCTCCGAAATAACCAAACACCAAATGACCTTCCAATATCGCAATTGCCCATGCAAAACAGTCAACAGGAACCAAATGACCTTCCAATATTTCAATGGCCCAAGCAAAAGAGTGAACAGGAACAGACAGGACGCATAGCATTTGCAGTCACCGATGCATGATAGTCATCATAGACAACCACCAGTCGTAATGGAATTCACAGAGTATAAGGCCAAATTGAAATATCATTTTCAAGCAAGCATAAAATTCCATCGGATCAAAACATTCGGTTGATCGTTTAGCAACAAAAAACAGGTGAATATCTATGCAAGATTCGCACTTCAAAATACTGGTCCAACTAAATTAATCCACCCAGACAATCATCACAAGAACACATCCAGCAAGAGGAAACTTCGATGCATTGCAGACAGTGATAGTCAGCCGAGCAGCTCCTCGGGTTCCTAGGCTGCAATTAGCACATCAACAAAACTTCCTTTAGTACAATACTAACAGTGAAAAACATGAAAGGAAAGAGTTGTGTTACATACCACTATCCGAAGCAATTGTCCTATCCAGAACGGAAACCTCCTCCTGTCCCCCGACGTTCATATGGCCCTGAGCGGTCACGACTGAATCGATCACTTCCAGAACTTGAACGACCACCAGAATCCCTGCTGCGCCCACTATATCGGTCTCCATTTCGATCAGGTCCACCCCCACCACCACCATAACGACCACTGCCACCACCCCCACCGCCACCTCCACCACCATACTTATCATCCCTGCTACCATACCTGCCGCCTCCCCTTGAACCTTCACTTGGGCACTCCCTAGCAAAATGTCCTGGCTTTCCACACTTAAAGCATTCTCCTCCTCCACCTGATCCACGTCCACCTCCATAATCACGACCACGGTCACGGTCACGACCACGGTCACGACCGCGGTCACCGTCATAATCTCTACCTGAACCTTGGTGAGGCTGAGCTTTATCAACAGTAATAGTTCGTCCATCCAAATCCATTCCATTCATTTCTTCAATTGCCTCTTCCATTGCTTTTTTATCATCAAAAGTGACAAACCCAAATCCACGGGAGCGTCCAGAAAACTTATCAACAACTACCTATGTCATTTAAATTATTTTCACCATAAAATTCCATTGATGAGTATTAGGAATATCAAATAATATCATGTTGAACAAAGCATGAAAAATTAGCACCTGATTTCAATCAAACCAAATCAAGATCATATTTTCCCATATTATACACTATCAAAAGAAGTTATTCACGGCCATTGCCAATTTCCCTTCTGATTCCCAAACCCTCATGGGACACTATGGTCATCCAAACTAATTGATTCCGCCAAGCAGTATCATCCTCAGAAACAAAGACCAGATGCAATAATCAACAGAAGAAAAAGAAGTTATAAACAAATGCTTGATGAAAATCAAACACATTTCATTTAGACTGTATTCAAACATAAAGAAAACAAATCAATACCTTGGCTTCAACAAGCTTTCCAAACTTGTCAAATGCATCTTTTAGACTTCTATCAGATGTTGACCATGCGAGGCCACCAATAAAGCATCGATATTCCAGCTCTTCTGACATTTTTCTAAACTGCAAATTTACATAAAAGAGGGCATCAATCAGGGAAGATAAACAAAAAGAATCAGGAAAAACCATTCAATAATCTATGAAAAAACTAACAAGAATTCTTCCCAATACTACATAATCTGGAGACAAGTAAACAAATCCGATGATAGAGGAAAAAGGAGCTCCCCCCACCCCCAATTAACTCTCTTTACCGAGAAAAACTTCTTCGAACCCCACACCAAATTCACTACGTCCTTCTATTGTTGATACACAGGTACGAAGATGTATATCCAATCCATAGACATACACACTAATACTGGAATTGAAGAAAACCCACTTAGGGTTTTGGGCATATGTAAACAATTCTATACTAGGAGCATAAGAACAAAAGCATACATACGCATACACTCATATTGAAATTATCCAAAATTTCTTGGCCCTTACTTTGTTTGTAATTTACAGGCCCTATATAGTAGATCCTAATTAATTATCCATAGCACATAAGAAGCGAATCATCAAGATTTAAAACATACAAAATATCCATTTAAAAGAGAAAAAATTTGACAAATACACGCCAGAGAGCAGAGGCCAAAGGTAAAATTAAACTCATATAAATTAGAATGAACAAATCTGCCAAATTTCTAAGTGAATTCGAGAACAACAAAATCATAACCTAACAATATAAGCGCGGAAGGGGTTGATTTTTCATACCAGCAAATAGCGACGCAAGGATTTAGATCTCAAACGCGGAGAGAAACACAGAGAGAGGCTAAAAGAGGCTTTGGGTTTTTGCTTCGGCTTTCAACACAAAACCTAAAGACAGAGGGCTGCGGGTGTGGTGTAGGCTGGAAACCGGGTCAACGGGTTGTAGGGTTTCTTATTTTTTTCTTCCCGGACTCTGTGTCTTATTGGTCCACGTGTCCACTAAGTTAAGATATTTTCTTGGTTATTTCTGCTATAGAATATTATCACCAAAAATAAAATAAAATAATTAAAAGATGATAAAGCTTTGGATTCCCTTCCCTCGATATTATTCGAGTATTAAAAATAAAAAATAAAAAATAAAAAATGTTTGAAAATGTGTTTATACCCGCGACATGCATTAGAGACTTGTACACAAAAGTACAACATTAGACGGAGCAGAGGGTTTAGGGTTTTGCCCTCTTGTTTGTTTCTGTGAATCGCAGGCAAAAGAGAAGTGAAAACCAAGGAAGAAGAAGAAGATGTGGTATCTGTGCGTGTTCTTCCACAGATTATTAGACTACAGGAAAGCCGAGGTCGAATCTTTAGCACAACTCTTTAGCAACGAAGATCAAGAATACCAGTGTTTGCAATGGAGGCTGCCACTGCTCCACCACCCAGATTCCCCTTTCCATTTCGTCGATCTCCCTTCGGAAGACGTAGCCAAGAGCATCGCCAATCGAAGTCAGTACTTCTTTTCCTCCATTTCCTCTTTCTCTCATCTGCATTTTTTGTTAACTGGCCTTGAATTTCTCAAATCTGTAATTTGCTCAAATCGAAACCACTGTAATCTCATATTCCCAATCATGGCCTGTAAGATTTTGTACTTCATTGATCTTCATTGAGCAGAGTATTTCACTAAAATTTGAGCTTTCAACTTGGTATATGGTAGGCATACTTGTGAAAGGAATGTATGAACTTTGGGGAGAAGGAGGTAGCTATGAGGAACTGGAAGAGTGTATAAGAAATTACCCAGATGAGCGGAAGTTGCCGTACCTAGACTCCAATAGTACTTTCAAGATTAATGTTGACACCTTTGGTAAAGTCATCAGCCTCCAGGAGCAAACCCAACGCATTCAGGGGCTTAGCTACATTCCTTTCAAGGTTAATTTCTTAATCTAACTTATTCACTTCGGTTTTCGGTTTGGGTTAGATTCTGCAGGGATATGCACTCAAAGTATTTGTACAAGTACAGAAATCTGCATTTTAGCTCCAGAAAAATGATCTCAAATTGTTCTTCATTGTCACTAATGATGGTGGTTGCTACTGATCAATATGTTGCAGGGTCGAGTTAATTTGAAAAATCCAGAACACAAGTTCTGGCTTATGGAAACTGATGATTATGGAGCTAGCAATGGTCTTCCACCAATGGTCC